CCTTTGTAGAGGGGTGACCGGTACGGTACTTAGCCCAGGTGGGTATTTAAATGAAAAGAAAAGGAAAGTAGAAAAGAAAAGAGAAAAGAGAATTTGCTCTTAAAAGACAAAAAGAAGGCTTAAATAAAAAACGGCTCCAAGTCAAACAAAAGGTGTTTGTTCCACAAAGAGCAAACAGATGAGACATAAAGTCTGCCTTCCTCTCAGAATCAGAGAGGAAGTGGTTTTTGTTTTCTGATTCTTTTATTTCACTTTTCTATCTCAGTCTTTGTTTGAGCTGCTTTCAGCGTCCCCTTTGTCTGCCTTTTTCCCACCTTTTTTTATTTCCCGTAAATTTTGAGCTGTTTTTCCTGTTTTCACTGGTGCTTCCCGGTGGCACAGCGGAAACTCCTCGGCCTGGCAATCAGTACATCAGCAGTTCAAGCCTGGCTCTGAGCCACCTCAACTCCAACATGCACAACCACCAAATTCACCCTCCATCACCTCAATAAACTCATTTAAGACCCTTTCTCACGGGTTTTCCCCTCTGCGCTTGGGTCCGCCTCCCAGCCGTCCCGTAACGCCAACGTCGACCCATGCAACTAAGATCAGTCGTAATCTCATTTGCAAAGATATGCGTCCTCTCAGTGTCACAGAGAATAAAGGCTTCTGAATATGGTGAATACAACAGAGCCTTATTCCACCATAACACACCGACATCACGGTGCCTACATTTTACCAGGAGGTAAAAACGAAGGTGCTGGGCTCTCTAACTGAGCGGGTTGGGGGTGCTGTGATAAACGCAGACTGCACTGTTCCTGTTTTTATTGCACGAAAAGTCAACTTTCACTTGTCTTTTACTCAGATGTTCCTCATATGGTGGTGTTTTATACTATGACAATTTTCCCAAAATTAGATTTTAAAAAATGTAATATATTGCCCTTCAGTACAGTTTCACAAAATATCATAATATATTGAAACATGACCCCTGTATATGTATGGTGTCGCCAAGTTTTGACCAACACACAGCCCTACTATTGATTGTAATAACAGATAATAATCACGGAATCCATCAATTTTATTGTCAATTAATCATGTAATCAGTCTATTGTTATGGCAAATCTATACAGATGGGCTCGAGAACGATAAGAAACTGTGTAGATCATTTCAAAGGTTCCACAAGACTTGAAAGACCTTTCAAAATGTACACACAGGCGTATATATGTGGCAAAATTTCGATCAAGTAATCCATTTTATTGTATCGGCAGCTCAGTTCAGTTCCTAAACGCTTTATTCTGAGTACCTGAAAATGAAATAGGACAATTTCACTTGATAAAATGACAGGAAACCTATTAATGAGGTGAAAGGTCTTCAATTGTTCTCACGCAGAGAAATACTGGATATATTGATTAGTTTGAAAAAGCTTTCACTCACCAGGAGATCATTTTTGCAGCACTCTCATTTTTGACTCTGAGCGCCGCGTTCACAATAACGCCATTGTTCGTGTTCAAGGTCGCCCTGAAACTCCGAGATCCGACCTCATCCTACACTGCGCTACGGCTTCATAACCTCCTCTGCGCTCAGCAGACTGAAACATGAACGCTGCAGGTTCAGTGTAGTTTTCCAGTAAGGCTGAAAGACGAATCGTCTTTATACCAAAATCACAATTTCAGAGAGTGAAATTATCAAACTGCAGGAGCTGCGATGTTTTTTTATTATATCCTACATTTTCAACACCACTGTCTAAAGTATTAAGTGGGGAACTCAACCCCATAACACAGCGCTTGTGAACTGTCTGCAGATCAGTGAGACCAATCAGAAGCATCCAAACCTCCGAGTGGTGTGACATCACAACCACAACTTATAGGCAGTCACTGGTTCCAGTTACCTGAAGCTAAAATGAAGCCTGTTTAGAGGATATCTGAGAGAGAGTGAGTCCAGTGACTGAGGTCCAGTGACTGGGGTTGGTATGAAGGTGACCCTTAAGTGAACCTTAGCTAAGCTAATGAGTGCTTAGTCAGCAGACATACAGCACAGGCTGTATTCCAGCTAACTGAAGCTAAAATGACGCCCATTTAGAGAACATCTAACAGCGCAGAGCTGAGTGACCGGTGTTACGCTGCATTATGTGTGCGGCAGAAGGACGACAGCAAACCGGATATTCTACTGTTTCCAATGGAGGCACTAGCGGCAGCGTGTAAGTCGATTTTTTGGGAGCCACGCAAGCCAAACACGTTGTTGAACTCCAGATGAACTGAGTATTAAACAACACAAAGTAAAAGACTACAAAACACCTCCAGGCTTCCTCCACCGATAAAACACCATCTACATCAGGCAGGTCAAACTGGGGACCTTCCAGGACAAAGTGCTGTGGACATCAGTGTTTACCCTCATCTGACACTCTGAATCCAGTTCATGAAGGCCTTAATTAGCTGATGAGCTGAATCAGGTGTGTTTATTGAGGCAGTGAGCTGAAGTCTGCAGAGTTTTGGCCCGTGAGGACTGGAGCCTGACTCGTGATCTACACTGATAAAGCCCTCCTCTGATAATCATCCATTTCCGCCAGTAATGCTGTCACCATAGCAACGTTTGAATGATTCTGTGCCGCCATCGGCTGCGCACCACTGGCACGCCGGGACACACGTGAAAGCAGCGTTTGAGCTAAAGCTGAACGTGTTCTGGGGTGAGTGGAGCTCTTTTTCCCCTCAGTGCCTCCCACCCCACCGTTCAGGGACCACTCTAAAGTATAAATGTGTTTACTCAGCAGCTCAGATGAGGAAAAGAAATTTGACACATCATCATTTTTAAATACCAAGACGTACCTTAATACTGAAACCACTCAGCCTCAACCCTGGAGTCAACGAGTGCATTTACATGCACTCGATAATCTGATCATTATCAGATTTCTGCAGTAATCTGATTTATTAAGTGGTCGTGTAAACAGCACACTTTGATTTCTTAGATCAGAGTAAGGTCTAGAAATCTGATTAAGAAATCTGATAAAGAGGCTGGATTTGAGAAGCAAAACACTTTTGGAGCGACGCTGAAACCAAATACATGCTTGACTAAATGAAGGATTTAAATACTCTTCATCTTCTAGATGATGTGTGTTCAGGTAAAGTGGCTCAATGTTTTAAAAAAAGCTGCGTCATGAAGTCTTCTGCGAGTTTATTGGCTGGTTGCAAAGCAGAAATCTGAATAATTCATAGTAGATGCTGACTTAATTATAGTTGTTACAGAATAACATATATTAAATGATTCATAGTCTACTACTGGGGCTAAAAGGTCAATCTTTTTTTAATCTGCAATAGTTTTAATTATATCCAACACTATCAAAAATTTTGTTTTAAGTGGGGAAATTTTCACCTACTAACACAGAGGCTGTGAACTGTGTAGATCAGTTGGACCAATCAGAGACCAAACCTCCATGTGTTGTGACATCACAACCACAGCTTACTGGCACTTTGGCACACTACGTTCAGGGGTCAAGCCTCAAGCCAAGAAAGGTGGGCACCCTAATCTTCTTACCAAAAACCTAACCTAATAAGGCCTAAACCTTATTTATAGAAAATAATCAATAATGTAAATCACAATGGCAACAATATCACTGAGAACAACTATGATTAGATATTTTTCCCAGATTCCTCGGCCCTAGTACTTACTGAATAATCAATAAAAGTTACCGAACTATAGTAGTACACACTGAATAATTAATAATAATTACTATTCATAGTAGATACTGAATAATTCATAAGTTACAGAAGTAGTACATACTTAATAATTACTACTAATTACTAAATATTAGTAGTATAGTAGTTACTGAACAATACATAGTAGATGCTTAATAATTCAGAGTAGATGCTGAATAATTCACAAAAGTTACTGACTTATTAGCACATACTGAATAAGTAATACTAATTACTACATATTCATAGTAGATACTGAATAGTTCATTAAAGTTACTGGGTTTTTGGTAGTACATACTGAATAATTCCTAGTAATTACTAAATATCAGTAGTACAGTAGTTACTGAATAACTCAGAGTCGCGGAATAATTCATTAAAATGCTGGATTTGTAGTAGTTGCTGGACAGTTTACAGTGGATACTGGACATTACGCCTTAATAACAGTGTATGAGGAATAAGCACAGAGGTTAAAGGTTAAAGTTTGCCAATAAAATAATAAAACGACTGTGTGTCCATCACCAATCAATCAAGCAGCTCTAACGCAGTGAGATTAGGCCGAGCGAGGCAGGATGCAGCACAGAGCTGCCTTTGCAGTCAGAGAATTCCTGATGCCCCCCCCTCCCTTTCCTGGTGATGGATACCCCCTCCCACAGGGATGGGAAGGTGTGGCCTCCTCTGGTCAGCACCCATTGGCCACTTCTTGGGGGAAAGGTGCCCTTCCGTCACGGCGGTCTGAAAAGCAGCGCTAAGGAGCTGCTCAACAACAACAGCGTCACGGCCTGAGCCAGCCACTGGCAGCGGGCACAACCTGCCAGCCCACGCAATCCAGGAGGATTTGTAGGGTGGACCCAAAACTGGACACTGCTGACTCAGACTCATTACTCAGGCAGGAGCTCAGACTGATTACATCAAAGCTATTCAGGCACAACAAACCCACTTTATTCAACAGTGAAATGGAAGTGACTCTACCTCCATTCTCCAAGGCCTAACGTCACAGAGCTGTGGTGCAGAAGACTGACCCAGCCTGAAGCCCAGTGTCACAAAAGCCACGTTTTCAACATTACAGGCCTGAATGGTCATTTATGGAGGGCTACTATAAGAGTGCGGCTCCTAAGCCCTGCCTGCACCTCCACTTCCAAAATACTGGACCAGACTGGACCGGAATTGGAAGCTGCGCAAACGCTGCGCAGTCGCCGCGCAATGGTTGCGCAGGGTTCTTGTTTTGGGGCTTCCCCTTCCTCGAAAATGGTGTTTGCTCTGCTGTAACGTATTTGAGGAACAGGCGCTCGAATATGGCGCAAACGCGAACACCCGCAGCCCTGCTCGCCTCCTTACCCACGGCTCTCCTCTTCTGCTCCAGCCTGAAGGCGTCCGTCGTCTGGAAGCCCAGGCTGGAGCCGCGCTGCCTCTCTTTGGTTCCTCCGGGCTCCTCGGCGCCCTTCGCCTTCCCATCGCCTCCCTGGAGCCTGGCCCGCAGCCGCTGGTTCTCCTGCTCCTTGGAGGCCGTGTCCAGCAGCATGGAGCCCAGGCTGCCGCCCACACTCTTGGTTATTTCCTGCACGGCGAGCTGCACCACCTGCTCCAGCGCGGACTCCAGCTGGCCCTGGAAAAACGAGATGTAGAGGGCACCGTTCATGGTTCTGGAAGCTGGAGAGCCTGTCTCATTCTTCCCGGCCGCCCCCGGTTCCTCCGTCAAAGGCAGGCAGAAAAGCAGAGCAGAGCTGGGCGAGGAACACGGCCACCTTCTCCCTCTGCCCGTACACACCCCTCCTGTGAAGCCACCGCACTGCCCCGCATAGAGGCGCACCCAGAACGCGCGCACGAACTCCACGCGCCATTTTGGCACCGTGGCTGTGACGCACTGGTTGCCATTTGTGCCACTACTTTTCAGACTGAGGTGTTCTTCTGCTCTAATAGAACCGTTTTACCCTCACTCTTAAAAACAGACGGTTCTTTAGGGTTCTTTAGTAAAGTTAATGGTTCTGTTTGGAACCACGAGGTCAGTATAGAACCATTTGCATGCTGAAATAGTGGTAAAATGGTTCTTCTGATTGTATAGGGTTCTATATAGCACCAAAAAGGGTTGTCAAGGTTCTCTACATAGAACCTTTTCAAAAGGTTCTATATAGAGCCACATACAACACGTTCTCCATCAACCTGAAGAACCGTTTCATCATGCAAATAACCATTTAGGCGTAAGAACGGTTCTATATAGAACTTATTCTGAAAAGAACCATAGTCTTTACTAAAGAACCTTTGAAGAACCGTCTTTTTAAGAGTGTAGTAAAGGGAATGGTTCTGTTTAGAACCATGAGTTCTGTGTAGGACCATTTGCATGCTTAAATAGCTTTAGCATGAAGAACCATTTAGGCATGAAATGGTTCTATATAGAACTTATTCTAAATAGAACCATACCCTTTACTAAAGAACCTTTGAAGAACCGTCTTTTTAAGAGTGTAGTAAAGGGAATGGTTCTACCATTTACATTTATTTACATATTTACATTTACATGCTTGACTAGTTCTTAGCGTGGTGCAATGGTTCTTCAGATTGTATAGGGTTCTACATAGCGCCAAAAAGGGTTTTTCTGTTGTTACGATGTCAAGTTGTCAAGGTTCTCTGTATAGAAAAAAAAAACATTCTTCATCAATCTGAAGAACCATTTTACCACTCAAAGAACCATTTAAGCTTGAAATTGTTCCATATAGAACTATTCCCTTTAATAAAAACCTTTGAAGAACCATCTTTTTTAAGAGCGTAGTAAAGGGAATGGTTCTACTTAGAAGCATGAATTCTATTTAGAACCATTCGCATGCTTAAATAGTTATTAGTATGGTGAAATGGTTCTTCAGATTGTATAGGGTTCTATATAGCACCAAAAAGGGTTCTGTTGTTACGACGTCAAGTTGTCGAGGTTCTCTACATAGAACCTTTTCAAAAAGGTTCTATATAGGACCATATACAACACATTCTCTGTCAACCTGAAGAACCGTTTCACCATGCAAAGCATGAAATTATCCTATATAGAATTCATGGTTCTAAACTGAACTATTCATTTTACTAAAGAACTCTTGAAGAACCATTTTTTTAAGAGTGTAGTAATGGGAATGGTTCTACTTAGAACCATGAATTCCATTTAGACCATTTTCATGCTTAAATGGTTCTCTGCATGGTGAAATGGTTCTTCAGACTGATGGAGAATGTGTTGTATATGGTTTAATGTAGCACCAAAGAGGCTTCTGCTATTGTTTACGATGCCAAGCTTTTGGTTCTGTATAGAACCATATACAACACACTCTCCATTAATCTGGAGAACCACTTCACCATGCAAAGCATGACATGATTCTGTATAGAATTCATGGTTCTAAATATAATCGTTTCTTTTAGTAAAGAACCCTTGAAGAACCATCTTTGTCAGTGTGTTTGTGGAGGCCTTATGAATGACTGGACACTAAAACTGCAGTACATGTGGACACAGCCAGGAGTCTGAAAGGGGAATTCCACCTATTTACCAAAATTCCCTCATAATTCAGTGTTTGTGATGTAAACAGAGAGATTCAGAGTGGTTTGGTGTGAAATGGTTCAGATGTCTTTACAGTGGTGGTGATAGGAACCAGGGGTCGCCATGACTACAACACAAATATAGACATTTTATTTACTATCCAGAACCACCAGTGAACCTACACGAGTTTTCTGAGTTTATATGGAATGATGATGATGGAAAATAGTGGAAAATCTGAAATAATAAGTTTTCTTTGGGGACTATTTTGCCTCACAGCGCCCTGCATGTTATGTATCCCTCCACCATGAATGGATTTAAAAATAGTCCAAAACTATCATAATAAAGATGTCAGAGCCATCAGACCAGGCAAGTTTATTCATACAGCACCTTTCATACACTGAGGTCATTCAAATGAAACAATACAAAGATAATACAAAGGAGGATAAACGTTGAACACATGACTGTAAACAATAGATTTAAAGAGAAGAATTACTGGTTACTCATTCTAGCATATTGGGGGAAAAATAGAAGATAAAAGTGGTCAGTACAAAAGTTATGGCGCATTTTATATGTATATATATTTTTTCTAAGGTGTTAAATTCAGTAACTAAGCAGTATTTGTGTATTAAAATGTGCAGAATTGAGTCTCTGTAGAGGATGTGTTTACTTATTCACACTCAAAATCAACACAAACATTGAATTTAAACAGGGGGCACAAACTTTAGCACACATGTATTTTCACGTCGTATTATTTACTTATTAAGACATTACGTCATATATTTAATGATTTATATAATTATTTCATTCGATAAAGAAGTGAAAGCGGAGGCGCGTCTCTTCGGCGCAGTGCGGTAAAGCAGCCAGCCAACTGGAAACAGGCGTGAAGATCATGTGATCGTTTTGTCCCGCCCGTATTCCGTCAAGCCCGCCTTCCGGAATACGGGCGGGAAGTGAAAAGAGGCGGTAGATGATCAGTGTTGTTGTTGTGGTCGGAGGTCCGAGTTGGCCACGTTTGCAGAAGCAGTGCAGATCCGTGTCGCTGCAGACCAAACAGTCTACACTCAAACAGGCAGCTTTGATCCAAATAGACAAAAAATAAAGCTCAAAATGCCTGGATGGGCAGAAAAAGGACAGTTTAATTTATTAAAGATGAACAGGCCAGTGCTAATCTGAGTTGACCCAGGCAGCAACTGACCAAACCACAAACACCCACAACTCTTAGACTCTTCTCTGGGCAAGGAGGGGTCATCACCTGGCTCCTTCCTGCACCTCCCAAATATGTTATGCCTTTTGATGTGTGCACCATCATCTCCAAATCCCATGATGTCACTGAACACCATTATTTCCAACTTTTATATTCACAGGCCCAGGCCACGGTCAGGCCCAGCGCTTTTATATTCACAGGCCGAGGCCATGGTCAGGCCCAGCGCTTTGAACTTTATTTACTTTATTTATTAATTTAATTCTATGTGGAATTGAGGCTTCTCCTTTTCACACACATTCTGAATAACATACGGTACAGCAGAATCTCAGTGTGTGTGTTTCTACACACTAATATAATCTGTAACACACTCAGTGTCACACACACACACGCATATATATATATATATATATATATATATATGTATGTATATATATATATATCGCATTTTCTCCAAGTCATTTAAGGTCATTTTTTTTGGTCCATTCATCATGAAATTTACACACAATGTAAAGAGAAACAAGTATTTTCAGATGACAAATGACAAAAAATGGAGATACAAGGTTTTGTTCCGACAGCTGCACTATATATATATATATGTATATATATATATATATATATATATATGTATATATATATAAAAACTTATTGTTTTTCACTCTTCACTTTGTCTTTATTTTTCCTTTGATGTTCCTTCTGCTTTTATGTCTGTAAATCACACTGAACTGGCTTTGTGTACGGAAGGTGCTGTAGAAATAAACTTGCCTTACACAGATCAGTGTGGTGAGCAGTGAGGGGGCGGGGCAGAGCAGCTGATGGACAGATAAAGGGACCGTGTGGTTTGTATGGGGGAGGCTCTCTGTGTCAGGCCTGTTTGTACAGTAGCTGAACAGATGAACAGGTAGAGCGGCTCACGGCACCGTTTACTGTATGCAAACGAGGAACCCTGGTCAGGGTTTCAGCAGCGAGTGTGAACTGCTGGCTGGGTGGTGTTTGGCGTCTGTGTGGAGGAGTTTTAGTGTCATTTTGAGTTAGAAGAATTTAAACAGGACCATGTTGGGGGGCAGACACGGCTCTCTTACAGTGATCAGGACATTTTGGACGTGTGTTGGTTTGTTTGGGTCTACGCAGCTGAAAAAAGTGTACCGTATTTATTTTAACCCCTTAAAAGTTTTATTTCCCACTTCTGTAATCTAACCCTGATAGCAAGTGGGATAGGGGGCCACTGTCGGCCCACTGATGGCAGAGCTGGCGCTCCACTGGTGTTTTGCTCAGTGTTTTCCAGGCGGCCCACCGGTGTTTAATCAGAGAAAATTCCACTTATCATCACTCATTTCCCACTCACAGTCCAATTTACTGATTTTCCTTCCTCCTTTCTTTAGTTATACTCTGTAAATTAGTTTAGTAAATAATTTTAATCCAGCTCAGCTTCATTACAAAGAGAGCATCATTAGTCCTGTGGAACTGGATTTAGTGTAGCACAATGGGTGGATCATAAAATTAAAACATCATATTTACAGTTTTTGGTTGTATTTTTTAGTTGTGGCACTGCTGGTTCATTTTAGTCTGTTCCCGTTATCAAACCTCAATCATTAAAATGTCTTTGGGGACTATTTTGCCTCACAACTCCCTGCATGTTATGTATCCCTCCACCATGAATGGATTTAAAGTTCTCAAAACTATCATAAAACAGCGTCTCAGTCATCAGGCAGTGAATTCATAACCATTTCATGTAGGAACTTTCTGTGAGGGAGCTTTTAGAGGTGGACGTCTGGTTCCTATCACCACCACTGTGAACGGTTCTGACTCTGTAAGTTTATCTAGAACAGAGCGTTTCATATTAATCCTGATGGTGCTGCTGTATGATTCTGATTTTCTGGTCTTCGTGCAGCTCATTGCACACAGACTGCTGCTGTCACTGAGTTCAGTATGAAGATCAACAAGAACTTTGCTATTCTATCCATATACAGTGTACAGTGTAATGATAACAGCTAAGATAACAGCGCTTCTCCACACAGCACAACTGCTCAGGATACAGGCTGCATACAAACCCACATACTGCACAGTACTGTACATACTGTATCAGAGAAGGTGCTGTTCATGGTGGAGTGTTGTTTTTCCATTCTGTGTACAGTGGTAGTGTACAGTGGTAGTGTACAGTGTTTTATGTGCTTTAAACCTGTTTAAACCTGTTTCCAGCTCACCTAGCAGGAGTTTTGTGTCATATTGCAAAAGGTTTTGGTTTTTAAATGCTTCTAAAAAGGGTTTTTCCTCTGAGCTCAGTGTCTAAACGTAGGCTTTGATCTGTTTACAAGCTTATAAACTTCTCAACTGCATAATTTATGAAGGTTTTGTACTTTTGTGCTTGGTCAGGTTTAAGAGATTTTGACTTCCTCACTACTTTTCTCTGTTAGAAGTGCCCTGTACAAACGGAACTGCAGTTCATGGTACAGCCTGTAGGTGGCGCCTGAAGTCTCCCTTGGAAAAGCAGTTTTTCATGTGTAAACAATTATTTATTGGCTCTTTATTAGAAACACGCAACCCTGTACTTCCACCAACTGGCCACTTTATTATAAACACCTATCTTGTGCTTCCACTAATTGGCCACTTTATTAGAAACACCCACCTTGTGCTTCACGTGAATCCTGCCTGAAAACCAAGCAACCACCTTGGATACCATTGCAACCATCTGGCAAAGTCCAAGTAACCACTCACAATAACATAGCAGCTGCTTAGCAACACCCCATAAACCACCTAAAATATCACAGTAACCATCTCACAACACCCTAGCAACCACCTGGAACTCGCTAAAGCTGCACACTCATCATATTATCAGTAAATTCACTTCTCTAGTGTTATTGCTTTTAGTGAAGGCTGAAGAGGACTAACGGAGAGAGAGACGTGGACAGCAGCGTGTAAGACGGCGTTGAAGTCACTCGCTGAAAATGGCCAAAGACCGTGTCTACAGGTAGGTGTAGCTGATAAACCAGAAACTCACTGTAAATACATCAATCACCAGAAAAGCGGTTTGAATATAACTGTAATAAATTCCCAATAATATAATAAGGTATTACATATAATCAGCCTGTAAATGTAATAAATTCCCATTAATGTGATATTTTTACATTATTTTCAGTAAAATCTCATTGAAGTGTCTGAGAGTGTCTGAGAGCTGTGAGAGGCAGACTGAGCGTGTGAGGATGATAATCTGAGCTCGTCTGAATCTCAAACTTACATCACCAAAACAAACACGCTGGGACTTCCTGTCCATGCTGGGAATGACGGCCGACATCTGCTGTGACCTCATGACCCCCAACTCCTAAAGAGACAACACACAGCAGTGTCCAGTCATCCAGGCACTGGGCAGCACCCAGTAAGAATGTGTATATATGTGTGTGGCCAAAAGAGGGCGCTGCGGCGCCGCAAACTCACCAGAAGCAAGTGTTCCTCATAGACTCCCACTGATTTTCTCTGATTGTTAAACACCGATTTCTTTAGGTTCTACACCAGAACAGAATGTATGTTGTGTTTTCTGCAGAACCCGACATCCGACCTCTAATATTAGAATATAATTTCTTTTGAAAAGTCTTTGTTGTGTTCGATTTCTATCATCCCAAGAATGCTAACTTTCACTAGCGCCTCTATGGTAATCACTGTATAACGTTAGCACCAAGCTAGGTGCACTTTTACTTCTCCTCACTTATTTACAAAAGTGGAAACAAGTCGCTAAGTTACAAGTAACAAGCAAGTCTCAAGTCTCAGCTCAAGTCCTGAGTCAGTGAAGGTGAGTCTCAAGTCGAGTCCCAAGTCAACAGTCCTAATCTTCGAGTCTAAATAAGTCAGTCTGCATTCTGCAGCTAATTTAAGGCCAAAACACTGAATAAAGGCAACAGTACTGTAGCCTTTTAATAACAGCATGTTAGCAGCGTGTCTGTATATTAATATATTATTATTATTATTATTATTATTATTATTATTTTAACCTTCCAACTAAAATACAAAATCCGTGGTACACAGATAACCATGACAGGCACACTGTATAAACACAGAGCAGTGCAACTACATATGAAAATAATTTTAAAAGTACTACTGAGATTAATGCATACATACATACATCATCTAAATCTTAATCTGAGATTAATAAAAAATAAAAATAATATTTAAAGATAACTTTTGATTATTTTTGGGAACACTGGACTCACAGGATTAAAATGAAAACTAGCTCAGCCAACTAAAAACAACCGCTAGTTTGAATTGAATTTAGACGACAACAGAACCCAAAACGACTGAGCTGAACCAAATGGTGGTGAATGTACGGAGCTGAAACTGACTTTTTCTCCAGCTTCTTATTTGAATTTTCACTCCACCTTAAATGGGGCAGCACTGAGGTGCCGGAACATAACTGCTGCACCATTTAAGGTGGAACAGTAAATTCCAATTCGAAGTTGGCGAATAAGAAGTCAACTTCAGCCTCGTGGTGAACATTGCTGTGTCTCTTTAACTACCTTGAGGGAAATGGTCAGTTAGCCTTATGTTACGTTTCACGTACCTTTATTTCTGAGAGTGATTATACAGCTGAATACAGTGGTGCTAGAAAGTTTAAGAACCCTTAAAATTCTCACAATTTCCACAGAAATCGTATCTAAAACATGATCAGATCTTCATCTGAGTCATAACATCAGAAAAAGAGAACCAAATAAAACAAATAACACAATTATACACTCTCAGAAATAAAGGTACTAAACTGTCACTGGGTCAGCGCTCCTCTTATCACTGGGGTGGAACCCTCAAGGCTCCATCTCAGTCCCTTTAGTCAGGGAACATAACTGAACCATAATCCACTGAAATGATGTGTTCTAAGCTGTACTGACTCCACACACCCCGTCTCGTCTCCAGGCTTTTATTTTACTGTTCTGTTTAAAACATTCGGTTATGAAAAGGTACAAATACGAACTTTTCACCTGGAAACACTTATTTAAGGTTCACAATCAGACCCTAAAACCACTGTTGGAGCTTTGAGGGAACATTTACACTGTTTGTACCTTGATGAACGAAAAATGTAGAATGTGCTATAGAACAAAAAAGGGTTCTTCTATTGTAACAAGCCTGACATTGTAACAATACTAGAACCCCTTTCAA